CCCAACGGCAGCGCTTGGTTCCCTGGCTGGGCAGAGTCGGACAGCAACGGCAGCGCCGGCCCGGAGGACGAGCAGCTGGAGCCCGCGCACATCTCCCCGGCCATCCCAGTCATCATCACAGCGGTCTACTCCGTGGTGTTCGTCGTGGGCTTGGTGGGCAACTCGCTGGTCATGTTCGTGATTATCAGGTGAGCGCGGGTCTGGGAGGGAGCCTGTCCGGTGGTGCGGACCTTTCCGTGCAGGGATCCGGAAACTCTCCGGGCGCGTCCTCTTGGAGGAGGTGAAGGATTTCCTGGGAGAGTTTCTACTGGGGATGGAGGGTTCACACAAGGTGAATCGAGCGGCCTGAGAAAGTAATCGCGACCCGCCTTTCACACAACCCAAGACCCCAAACCTCTGCAAGAAAATTCAGCATGGAAGACCACAGGTTCGGACCACAGGGTCAGGGCCTCTTGGTAAAGAAACTAGTCCATTTGCGTGGCCTTTTTTTTTCTTTTATCTTTTTTTTTTTTTTTTAACTTTTTCTAGTTTCCTCTACCAGAGTGAAGAGCTTTGATTTTCCTTTCGTAAATGTTTCTTAAGATAAGGGCCACCAAAGGCACTGAAGATGATTTGTATTGCCCTGTGAGTTATCAGACTAACGTTAGGGCTTTGAAACAAAAGCCATATGCTATTAAAACTTTTAATATTCAAATAGGGGATTTTTTAGTATAGAACTGCCATCTCATTTCTTTAGAGGATCAATGACTTTTGTAATTTAACCACTGAGTTATCCTCCTAATTGTGGGCTGTAGAGATTTTAAAAAAATTGTTTTGCTACTTTTCCCAATCATGAGAAAATGAAGATTTTACTGTTCCTTTGTTAAATTTTCGTGAAGTTGACTTCCAATGATACAGTTTTAAATACCCATGTATATGTGGACTTTCTGGTAAATGAAGTGATTCTTAATTTAAAAAAAAAAGAAGAGTGAAATGAAAAAGAAACCAAACTTTATTCTGTGTGCCCTTTGAAATATGTGCTTCATTTTCTGGGAGAGATAATGCTTTGGAAATATACTTCTGAGAGTGAATAAGAAGCTTACATTCCTGGCAGAAAGTCCCTGAAAGTCAAGAGAAGACTTTAATGTCTGCTTACAGATATTAAAAGGATTCTTAACCTTAAAAACAATATCTATGGTAGCATGATTTCTTTCCCTTAGGTACCATCACCATAAAACACTTCGCCTTTTTTTTTTGGAGTTGGAATGTCAGATCTTTTATCCCAATCTATCTCTGAAATTAAAACCATCATTATTTAAACCTTCAAATACATATTTTAAATCTAATTTCACCCACAACCACAATTAGTGTAAGACCTCAATACCCTTGGTTTCCATAGTTGCTTATTGCATTTTACAGGAATTTTGTCAGTGAGGATTAAAAGTGATAGGAGTAAAATGTAAAAAGGTAATCTGTCCACTGTATTAGTATTCATAAGGCTGGTCTCCATTGGAGAGAATATTAAACAAAAAGAAAAGAAAGGTGTATTCTAAATTGTAATTAAATTTTAAAGAGATCTTGATATGAGACCATTTTGTAATAAAATACTGTGACTCAAAAAGAAGACTCAAAAAATGAGCTCTGTTCCTACTTGTGTTACATTAAAAGTTCAAGTAAAACAGATGCACCTTATTGTAATTTGAATGAACACATTCAGTGTTGAGCTTGATAAGGGCTTCCGAGTTGCTGTACAACATTTTTAATGAGCCTAAAGACTGGAATTTTTTTTAAAAAATGAAATATAACACACATATTAAAAAGAAAAAATAATTCTTGTAGATTAACTAGGACTTTTAATGGACACATTTCCAAAGATATCCTGCACTATAATTTGTTAGATGGGGATATATCCCCAGCTAAACTTATTTCAAAAGTTAGATAGTTCATAGAGCAACATCATCCATTTTCCTACTCCCTTCTCAAGTACTTTGAGATTAAGCTTGACAATAAGTTTAAAATGAAGAGTTATCCTACCACCCTGGAAAGCCAACCTACCAAACTGGTAGTTCACTTAAATCCATAGCTGAGAGGGTATAGGAGTGTTTAAAATTTGTTCATATTGATAGATGGTTGTAGAATTGAAAAATAAAACCTTTGAATAAAACTTGATAGACTTGGATTTATTTAGTTTAGAAGAGGAACAGACTGAATATTCAAGAGAAGGCGACAAGAAGATGATTGTGGTGTGCTTGTCAGAAGAGAGCTAGAGGCAAGTGTGGAATCTACATGCAACTCATAACAGGAAGGCAAGCAACTCTGCTTGGAGAGACATAGGGTAAATAGTGAAAAGGGCACTATTTTAAAATATTATACCTGGAAAAGGATCCTGGTGTAGTTCAATCTTATGGAATATTATTCTAGAGATGAAAATTAAATGAGCAAATGGTAGACAGGTGAAGGTCTAGGATGACCAGTTCCCATCTTGGGAGAAAGTTAGTCCTGTGGAAAAAGTGCTGACTACTTTAGGCATGTCTTACAAATAACTTTTCCTGTGTTGGACACCTGGAATGTTGACCAGTATTTCCTGAAGATATTTAAAGTTGGAAGTGTTCTTACCATTTAACATACTAACTGTCATAGTTCTCTACTGTTGGAATATTTTACTTTTCCACTATAAAGACCTAAAAATTTATGTGTTCCATGCTTCCCTGTTGTTAGGTTTTTGGGGTTTTATTCCTTGGGTATGCCTATAGATTTAAAGTTTGTAATCTAGTCATATGGTCTCTTGACTTCCTCCTTTTCCAGTCACTTTCAGTAAATACCATGACACCCACCATACCTGTACCTTTGACATTTCTGGTCATCTCTACTTCTGACATAGTGAACATCCATTTTTCTGCTCTATCACTTTCCGCACTTAGAATTATCTCTTCTTAAAAAAACAAAATGATTAAAATTTAATGAGCACATAATATATGCCAGGCAGGAATAGCAGTCTACTTCATGCAGATTATTTATTTTATCTTAACATACATAGGTGTAATATTACCATATCTCTTTAACAGATGAGGAAACTAAGGCTGAGATATATTAAACAGACTAAGGTCAAGTTCACCCATTGTTGACTCAGAAGACCACAATGATCTCAGCAGTCTGACCCAGAGCCTGTGATTTTATCCATGCTGCTACTCGTTTTCTACTAGACCGCTACTGCCAACATATGGATACTTTCTTTTCTGGGTAGTTCTTCATTTACTCTCAGCACCTCTTTTTCTCTCACCCAGACTAGACTTCATGAGGTGTCACTCAGCCTCTATCTTGAAAATACCCCCAACTGTTCTGCTGTTTTGTCTCTCTGCCACTCTCTTCCATCAAAGCCTTAATCACCATCAATCCAGTAATATCTATTCCATGTTCTTATACTCTAACATACTCTACTTAGACCCTATGTACTAATCAAATGTTGCTGGATAAAATTGTGTGTGTGTGTGTGTGTATGTGTGTGTGTGTGTGTGTGTGTGTGTGTGAAGGCAAAGCCACTACCCTCAAGTATATGTGACTCTAATTTTCCCTAAAAGTTTTTGTGTCCCTGTTTTATTTTCTAGCAAGAGCCCATTCCTTCTCCCATTTCTCATAAAAATTGAGTTAAGATCTGTGCTGGTTTCCAAGCCCTCTACCTGACCATGTTCCCCTGCCAGTCAGTAGATGATTTTGCCCAGTTGCTGAGACCAGACCCAGGTACTGAGAATGTCCCTTCTCTTATGAATGATGGCAGTCCCCTCCTCTCAATCCACTCCATTCTTGAGGGATAGTATCTTCTGTCCTTTTTCCTGTGTTTGAATTTCATCATTTTCTGGGGCTTTGCCACATTAGTTATTTCCTTTCTACTCCCTCTGCAATATCTCCCTCTCCACCAATTCTTGTGCTTTTCTCAAAAATCGTACTCATGTATCTGTCATTTTAATCAACAACCCAACATCCACCAAACCTTCATTTTTCTAAGTTCCCTTAGCTAATGTCTGTTCATCTCAAACAGATAAGCTTCTTGGAGGAATAGTCCCTTCTCCTCCCCATCTCTCCAATTCTTCTGCCCCTTACACTTTGGCACTCTCCTTGAAGTTCCTTGACCAAAGCCGCGGTGCTCATGTTTCAGAGGCTCATTTTAAACTGGCTGTCACCTGAGTTTTATAGAGAGTTTTTTGTACTTTGACCAATCTTAGGTCCCTCATTTTGTCTGATACACTTTCTCCTCAGCTTCCGCTCACATTCTCTTGGCTTTTCTGTGGTGTCTTTCATGAATTTGTCTTCTTCTGATTTCTCTAGATTATTATATCCTCCAAGATCTTCTCAGATAACTTCTGTCCTTACTTAGCATGATTGCTATATTAATCAAGGTTTAACCAGAGAAGCAGAACCAGTGCTGTATGTACATGCTAAGAGATTTCTGACAAGAAATTAGCTTATGTTATTTGGGTAGTGGTTGGATAAGTCTGAAATTCATAGTTCAGCAAGCCAAGAAGAACAAGATGCCCTTTCTGGGAGGAATTTGTTCTTCCTCAGTGTACTTCCTCGGTGTACCTCAACTCAAGACTTCAGGCCATTCCACTGATGAATCAGCCACCTAGATGCGGTAGAATGATCTCTCTTGCTTAAAGCTGGTTGATTATGACCATTAATCACATCTACAAAACACCTTCACAGCAGTTCCTGAGCGTGTGAAGACCTGGGAGCTGGGGTCTTGCCAAATTGACACATCAAAGTGACTCTCACACTCCCTTTCAATGGCTTCATTCATTTTTTGTGGTCATAACTGTCAGGTACAGTCTGACAAATCCTAAATATTTCTGTTATGTCTTAGATCTAAAATGCATCACAAAAGTCTCATGTGCTCATAAGTGGAGCTTCTGGAAGGTGATTAGGTCACGGTAGTGCTGTACTCATTAGAGGTTTCTAGAGTTCATGGGCACCTGCTTGTTGAAGGTGAAGTCTGGTTGGAGGAGGTGGGTCACAGTGGATATGACAGAGAAGGGTAAATTCTTGTGCCTAGCTGAGCTCTTGCCTCCCTCTCTGCTTCCTTGCTGTCATAGGTTGAGCTACTGTCTTCTGCCAAGTTCTTTCAAAATGCTATTTCTACTTTTAGCTATGCTAAACCTTCTAAAATCATGAGCCAAAAATAAACCTCTCCTCCTTTAAAATGTGGGTATCTGTT